CATCAAAAGGTAACACAAAAAACTACTAGCATGAATAAATCTTAAATTAACCAGCATCAGAAAAAAATATCAGTTAAATTATCATTGTCTAAAAGCCTTTCCTAAAAGTTATGAGAGGTACCTACAGGCACCCCAGGAATTATACAAAAATAATGAAAATAAAATTTTGGTAAACATTTAAATTGTATTCCACAGTCAACTACGCGCTACAGGCTTAACAGAGGTGAGCAAATGGATATGGGTGAGACGTGTGTGCCCGATCCTCAGTCGAGAGTCATCTCAAATAAATAATTCTTGTTGAAGGAGGGTCAAACACCCACTTCCTGCCGAACTCTGTATAACTTTGTTCTCGGCTGTAGGGCCTACAGGCCAGTCACTTCCTAAAGACACTATATGTATGACCCATAAAGTCACTGAAGAAAAAAGGTGTGCTATAAAGCGCTTTCGTTACAGCAACTTTCGCTTTGTCTCTGCCCGTTCATTTCCCGGGATACCAACATTGCCACTTGTGGCCATGAGCAGCTCTGGAATGTGTGCGGCTAGCACCAACAGCCTGGTCGATCAGGCCAGCAATCGGGATGCCTGGTCTGGGACCGGGTGGTAGTGACCCCCTTCTCCCCCGAAATCGTCTTCGAAGTCAATACTTTCCTTTAGTTCTTTGACCCATCAGTACAGTTCTTTAGTCTTGAAGCATGAATAAAATCACTCTCCAGTGCCCCTAGTTAACATCCTCGTCAGTCAACCCATCTTACAAACAAGACTGGTAATCAGTAGGTGGAGAAAAATAGCGTGTCTATCTTGTGAATAGGGGAAAAAAGGATCGAGCCTTCACCGTTGGTTGTGCTTAAAGATCCACCCACCTAGGTTGACCATTTCACTGTAAATGAAATCCAAATAGTAAGTTTGAGCCAAGGAAAGGGATTATAACCTCAACTCCTTGGATGGAGAGCTCTTCCTCAGCACTGCGGGGTAGAACCCAGGAACATTTACCCTTCCTTTAAGTACCGTGTGAACGCTACCTTTGACTCACTATGGGCATCAATGTCGCCCAGGAAAAAATGTAAAGCAAATAACGAGGAACGTGAATTTTCTGAGTGGGTTCTCTCAGGTAGGATACGTGAGACGAATATTCTCAAATTTCAAGCCGCAAGGAAACATTTTTATACACGAGGTGGGTGATCAGTGATTACACTCCTTGGTCCTGACAACCAAATTGAACAATACCACCTCCTGCCGGTCACTCGACTCTACACATTAACCAACTTTGTGATATATGCATATATACTATTTATATACCAGAATTCGTGCTCCCACGTCACCGGAGGAACTTGGCGCATGACTGCAATACATAAGCTGTATTTGCATGAGGCAGCCACCTAAAAGCTGAAGGCCACCTACTGGTGACACCAGGCTCTCTCCAAGGTACCTACCTCTCTAGGGGTCCCTCCTGGGTATCGATGAAGGGATCCTCCAATGTACCCTTGAAGGGTCCCCTCCAAGGTACCCTCGAAAGGGTCCTTCGAAGGGATCCTCCAAGACTAAGGAAAGTAGCTCATGATCATGTGTTGCAGCAAGTCCCGGAATAAAAGTTATACAGTAAGAGTCAAGTTCTTCCAGGAAGATAGGAAAGGAACACAGCTAGAGGGGTAATTGCGAAACAACATTGAATTCAAGGCATTCTAGTTTCACTTATTTCTCAATATTCTTAAATAATTCACGCTGAACGTGTAACCTGTGGTACCTAAAAGCGCAGTGTTTGACTCAATCGAAAGTTCCGTTTTCAATCTTGGGCGAGTAGAGACGTAAGGGCAAGTATCTTAACACCTGCTGGCTCTGTATACCTAGCAATAAACATACTTAGGAGTTAGTAAGATGTTATGGGTCGCATTCCAGGGAAGGACAAATTACACAAAAGTAAATAATTTACACAGCTTGACTTTCTTTGCATATCCTGAGTTATTAGCCCTTTGACATTATCAAAAGGAATAACTGATCAGGCAGTCAGCAAGGAAGTCTGGCCCCAGGCTGGGCTGTGAGGGCAGAAAAACTCTCAAAACCGCTCACAGGTACCCACATACTTTAAGAAGATTATTCTTTGGCACTCTTTTGTAAGCACATAATACAGATGTATGGTTGGAAAGCCGAAAGGAAGACCGACAACCTCCAACATTAGAAGATTTAAGTCAGAGTAAGGTTCGTTTCGAGTTCACGCTGTCTGGTGCACTCTGGCACACGAATAGAGCGTATAATTTGTAAAGGAACATGGACACTAAGGCACTTTTCTCGTATTCTTAATAAATGTGATCGATATATAGTTTTAAACTTGACTACCCGATTAACACTAGTGTTGCTATGTGGAACCCGCGGGCCTACACAGATCAAACAGTTCCTGCTGATCAAACAGTTCCTGCAGAAACTTATCCAGTTTTCTCTTGGAGGTTTTAACAATTATTCCGGAAATGTTTCTTATATCTGCTGAAATGTGAAAATTCATGGATCACGAATGCTATGCCATGTAGCGTAGACAGTGACGCTGACTTGAGTTATTAGAGCTCGAGGACACCAACTGTAACCACCATATCAATTAACTAGCATCATTATCTATGGTATACAATGACCAGTTAATGAATAACATAGGTGCGTATTTACAATACTACATATTGAATAAATATTAGAGAGAGAGAGAGGCCTTCCTCACAATATTCCCGCTAGTGGGACATAACGTGTCTTTACACCCACGTGCTTCACACAACAATCACCGTACAGACTTTAGTCATCAGTGACTCACCACAAGCAAGTCTCCTTCAGAAAGTTACTAAAAAATATATATTTCAAGATTTTGTCCAGAAGGGCAAGTTTGAGTACAGTTAGGGAGTGTCTTTCTCGCCTCCAAGTCTTCGTGTCTACCTACCTGCCTACATGGTATATTTATTATCCTCTCCACAATGTTATTACCCCTTATATATCTTAATGGTTCAGAGGTTCGCTCCCGCAGCCTGGTCTCACACAAGGCCTAAAATGAAAAAAGCAAAAACAGGAAATAAAATTAAGGACAAATATATACTGAATGACAGAGTTACCTGCAATCCTGCCAGATTGCAAAACCTTTAACAGGCTTCCGTTTCATTCTTATGACAGGACGGTAGTAGTTCCATGGATAATTTCTGTCTACCACTTCCAGCTTACACAAATCAAATATCTATCGGGTAGTCGCTACCTTCAAAAAATGTGTCCTTCAAGTTGAATATAGAGGTAACTGCCTCCCTATTTAACTCGACATACCCACCATCAAGACAGCTATACCTAGACCGAGTTGTCACAAGGCGAACCATTTAAAGGCAAACAGCCTGCACAGAGAGCAATTCTGCAAATTAAAAACGAAACGTGCTGTGAAAGTGGAGCAATGAGGCATTTTTATGCTCCTGAGAAAGCTAGCGAGACGGGGAAATCTCAAGGACTCCCGGAAACCACCACATTTATACAAGGAAGGTTACTGTATTTACTGTGGGATACGCTCAGGTAAGTCAGATTGCCTCCCAGGCACATGCACAAAAATACAAACAAGCAGTCAACTGCACACGAAATCACATGGTGGGCATATGTATATCCGAGGGACACAGGCAGACCACAGCCACCATGATAGAGCCATGAAGGCCAGGGATCAGTAAAGCCGGTCTAAACGAGCTTAAGAAGCGAGATCAGTAACTACGAATCAACCCTTGCAAATGCAACTAGAGGAGTGCAGACAGACCAGGCAAAAGAAATGATAAGAGACGGAACATGATTCGCCTCTACACTATCAATAAAAAACTTTTATACCAACCATAAATTTGAGTCTCTCCCTCCTTCCTTATGAGTAGATACCCCCCTCCATCCCCATGGTGATACGTCAAGAATATAATCAAATTAAGCGCTAAACCCGAAAGGGCCATAGAACGCTGCTGATAAGTCAAGAGTCACAGCTCTACTAATTAGTGACGGTGATTATGCATGGACAAGGGAACATTGCCATTAATAAACCTCAACTGATAGTGAGTGAGGAACCTAAGTCCTTATTAATTAGTAGCCTCAACTGGTATTCCCAAGTCCCATACATTTAATCTTCTGTTATTATATACTTTGCAATTTGTATTATATTTCGTGAAAGGACACGTGTGTAACTAATACGACATTTTATTGTTTCGCTCTCCAGGAGAGTGAAACGGTGTCACGGCTTTGTCAAGCCGTTACGTCTTGACTAATCTCCTGGAGAGAGAAACGTTGCCACAATAATATCGCATTAGTCGCACATGTGTACTTTTACCTAACATATTTTCGGTAATCCTACCAACCTTATTACAAATTGTATTATGTTCGATTTATATTTCTGTAACTTTTTCATGGTAGATGAGCTGAAACTGATCATTGCGCCTCTCGAATTTGTAAACACCGACTGTTATACTATTAGACGGTGAGTGGCAGAGAGAATGTGATCTAGAAGAGTACTCACCTAGTTGTGTCTGCAGGGGTCGATTCATAGCTCCTGGCCCCACCTCTAAACTCTTATCGACTGACTTCACTGATTTCTAACTTCCAGGGGGCCCGATTACATTTTATCTTGAAAGTGTGCAGTGAGGGGAGTGGTGACAGAGGTGCCCTGAGGCATTTCGTAGGGAAATTATGTTCTGCTCTAGATGCACTGGGTAAAATGGATACTATCAGTTAAGAACACTAATCCCTAAAACAAGGAAAAGTAAACTTAGCTTATAAACACTTGGGACATACACCTCTCAGGGTATATACCGAGACATACACCAGAGTATATACAGACATACACTTTTTAGCATATATACTAAGACATGCATCTCTAGGAGTAGACACTGACATACACCTCTCACCATATGTACACAGACTTCCACGTCTCAGTGTGTATGCTGAGATGTACACCTTTCAGCGTATTTACACAGAGAGATCCCCAGGCGCGGGGCATCATCCTAGACACCAGTAGTAAGGATACTTACCTGTCCTGCAGTGTCGCACAGCTGTAGTCTGATTGGCTGGTTGTCAACGTTAACCACCACTGAAACGACAACAATCAATCAATTAGCATTAAATAAAATGCACATAAGTTCTTTTAAGAGTATCAAGTATCCAGTTTCCATCCGGGTAGCTAATGCAGTCTACTTTCAATCCTAATCTATCCTCATTTCACAGCAGCTAATAAACCAGTCTCAATACCAACCTATCCTCATCCTACTCCTGCTAATACATCTGGTTTCCAAACCAACAACCTATTCTCACATCTTTCCACCACACCGCCATCCTCACTAACTGCACCTGAATTAATTTGTATTACATAATATGCATAAATAATCAGAACAAAATATAAAAAAAATAGTTTTACATGAGCGCAGGCGAGTGTTTGTAGTTTTAATCCAGTGTATATCTGTTAATACCCAGTAGTGGGTCTAGGGATTATCTCCCAATGCATTAGGTACCAGGTCTCTAAATGTGTAATGAAATATTACATGATTAAGAACTATTAAGAAACACACAATATGTACCTAGCCTCTCATATGTCTGCGAGACAAAAAGAAAAAGAGAAATAACTGCCAGAGTACAAACCGTTTAACAAGCTTCCGTTTCAAAATCGAATGACAGAAGGGTTGTAAATCCCTGTATGGTTAACGCTATCTACCAACCTATACAAGTTACTTATTATGAGTGTAATGTCAGACTGCATACAGGAGCATTAGTCTCTCCACAACATTACCTTACAATCCAGATAAACTCCATCTTAGTAATGACTTCCAGCTGATAGCTTCCCAGACGGGGAACCCAAGATTTACATTAGAGAACACATTTAATTTGCATGGCTGCGGTCTACTCGATGTCTACTTCATACCAAGTGATCTTGATATATATATATATATATATATATATATATATATATATATATATATATATATATATATATATATATATATATATATATATATATATATATATATATATATACACTCTTCAGAAGCTATTATCAAACTACACGCCTCTCATTAATTTTGGGCAAGTAAAAAAAGACCAAGAGTGTCATGTGGGTTTTGACATACGATAACAAACCAGGCCTCTAGAGAATGCTTTCAGTCAATACGGATCACATAAAAGTGTCACAATCATAACTTTAATATCCATACCTAAGTGTAGTAAACACTGATCTATAGTACAAAGCCACATGTAAAAAAAATAAACAGAACAAAAGTTGTATAACGAATTAAGCAGTATATGAATCTTATCTTCTGTTTTAGGGTCCTCACGTGGGTACATTCGTGCTGCTGCTTAATGTACATGGACACGTGCAACTTAAAAGATATTTTATTACAGCTACGTTTTGCTCACTAACTTTGTCAACTTACCTTTTATATACTGATGATGAGTTTCGAGAGTTTTTCTACTCTCGGAGCCCAGTCTTGGGCTAGCTTTATTAAAATTTTATTACGCTTACTTAGCGTTCCCAGGGTGTGATACATAGCCATAACAAAATTAATTTATTAGTTACAAGTGTTCATTTATTTATATTATTGTCGGTATTTTACTACTAATAATGATTGTTTTAATATTTTAGGACTTAAAAAATCGCTATAAAACGGCAATAAGCAGGAGTATCAGTCAAGATTGCTGAATTACTAGTGAAGGACAATCGCCTGACAAGTCTTAGTCATATGATGAACTGTCTTAATACTGTTGGCGTGGGCACTAGCATGTTGTCCTGGAGATGGTGGTGTCTTTTATACAAGTTTGATCCATTAACTTTCATATCCAATTAGTCTGCACATGGATTCCCGTTTGGCATAATTTCAGGTCTACTCTGAAAATATCGCAAAGTTCAGGATTGTCTACTATCAGTTAACTATTCCTGCACATTATTTCACACGATAGCTCCCACGATATTGGCCCAGTCACGGTATTGTACCTTTTTGTTCTTAACCCTATCTAATGTAGTAGACTAGACGAGAATTACAATCATTTCATCAACAGAGCAGACAATATGAATAGACTAAATAAAAAGTAGGCCAAACAGGTTGTTAAAGGTGGCGTCTACAAAAACATGTAGGTAGTGACGCTGTCGGCCCTACGGCTGGCCACAGCACCAAAAGCTGGCATACTAGTGCTGGAGAGGTGCGGTCTCTTGAGTGGTGAATAAAGGTGTTAAATTTACAGGCCAACTGCCGACAACAGGATAAAACACACATTTAACCAGGTGAGCCGGGACTGAACCACCTCTCTATCTCAAGCTGAGCTTTCCAGACTTAATGACCCTCACTCACACTTGAGAGAAATTTCGCCTAGCAATAAAGGCTAGCTTTGTTAAGTGTTTTTGTTTATCCAGAGGTGTTGATCACAAGAGTAAGGAGCAAGAGAGAGAGAGAGAGAGAGAGAGAGAGAGAGAGAGAGAGAGAGAGAGAGAGAGAGAGAGAGAGAGAGAGAGAGAGAGAGAGAGAGAGAGAGAGAGAGAGAATGTTTCTCACTATTAAGCTATGGCCAGTCACATCTTAATCAGTTAATCAACGAGCACTAAAAAAACTGTTGGGAGACACTATGGCTCAACTGGACACGACGTTTGACCGGTGTGCGAGTGTTGGTTAGCTTGTGAGTTTAAGGATTGGTGGCACCAATGTTTATTCACAATTAGGTACACCCGTAATGTGCGGTTTCCCTACTCAAGGAGTTACATGATGGCAACAAAGGCTAGCTATATTCACCGGCTTGCCCAGGGGATGGGTATGCCTACCCAGGGAGGGGAGGGATGGGTATGCCTACCCAGGGAGGGAAGGATGGGTATACCTACTCAGGGAGGGAATGGATGGGTATGCATACGCAGGGAGAGATGGAGTGGGCATACAGGAGAGACGATAGAAAACAGATGCACAATGGCATGGAAACTTATATTCATGGGGAAGCGTTAAAACCATATGGGTCATATTGCAATTGCCTGACACAGACGTGCGAGGAGATGTTAGGATAGGGTTCAACGAAATATTCAGCTGATAAAGAGAAAGGAAGGCGGCAAGAAAGAGGGACCCCAGTGAGAAGGGAAGAAAGGGGTGGGGGAGAGATAACAGATGGAAGGCAGCTAGACGAGATGACAAGAGAAGGGAGGAATAAATTACCAACCAGATGTTGTAAACAAATAATACAGACCTCAGGAAACGGCTCTATAAATATGAGAATATACGTTACACCTTAAGAATTCAGTGGCAAAACTGTTATTCAGTTGTAGTAAGTTACATATTTTGTCGGTTAAAGGACAGATCAGAATAGCTTGATTTAGAATCTTTGAGATTCTTTTATCTTGTTTTGCAGAGTCATGAGTACAGGAACGGCGTAGTCTATACTCCATAACACTAGTATACGTAATGTACATCATATGTAGAAAGTTAACCACGGAGGGATCATCTCTTCCCCCCCTTTGTGGTTAATCTGCATTGTTGATCGCTCGGTTGCGATTACTGCATCATACGTAGTACTAAAATTGATGCCCCAATTCCGTACCATGACTACTGTAAAAGATCTTAATCTAATGAGGCAATTATGCACTATTTCACCTACCAATTTATCCTTACTGCTTTCTTTCCTACATATACACCAAGAAACTTTTGTTTTCAACAGCCACGCCAAGATAGTTTACTTTCCAACAGCCACATTTAAATACTTATAGTAAGGTATCCTGCCAGTGGCTCACATTGCTATATGAAATCTCTTTCTTGTACTATAAACTTGCGAGAAAGCTTTCGTTTTTTCTTGACTTTATAAATTCTACTTTGCACTATTTCTCAAGATCTTTCATTACTAGATTCATTATATCATAGTACATTGTATCAGTATATCATTAAAGTGTCGTACATGTACTATACTAGTTAAATAAACATTAAACAATACAGCTGAGTATTATTATGACCCATAAGGATTATACAGTTGAGCATTGTGTCTTGCCACTTACAGAGGAAGTTATGACGCAATGTGCATTTCAACATTTCAAGACTCTCTTAGGAATTTTATATCCTGTATAACAATTTATCCAAGACACAGATAACCCGCACACTGGTGAATGAAACTTTTGACGACATTTCGGTCCGGCTTGAACCATTAACTAGTATTAAAAGTTATTGGTCCAAGTCGGAATGAAACGTTGTCATACCTGGAGTTTACCTGGAGAGAGTTCCGGGGGTCAACGCCCCCGCGGCCCGGTCTGTGACCAGGCCTCCTGGTGGATCAGAGCCTGATCAACCAGGCTGTTACTGCTGGCTGCACGCAAACCAACCTAAGAGCCACAGCCCGGCTGGTCAGGAACCGACTTTAGGTGCTTGTCCAGTGCCAGCTTGAAGACTGCCAGGGGTCTGTTGGTAATCCCCCTTATGTATGCTGGGAGGCAGTTGAACAGTCTCGGGCCCCCGACACTTATTGTATGGTCTCTTAACGTGCTAGTGACACCCCTGCTTTTCATAGGTTTCACTGTTCTATGTGCGGGTTATTTGTGTGCTGTTCCACTCAGGATATTGTGCCTTTTTATTCTTTAATCTATTCGATGTTATTGTTCAGAGTTTTACATAGGCATGACGTGAGACAGTCCCAGCAGTTGTCACTGTCTTTTTTTTTTTAATGTATTCTATACCTTCGGTAATAACTGATGAATTAGTTATAAGTTCTGTATTGCGTATTTGATAATCTTTATTTTCATGCAATTCTGTATCGTCCTAAATACCATCTGGTAGAGATGTCCATGAAGATTTACGGGCCTATCCCTCCGACAATTATTCTACTCTTTCCTGGGGGCCCGGATGTGCCACCACGGTGGTCTTCGTTCCAGCATTTGAACACCCATACCTGTTGTACAGCGGCTTCTCTATGAACACTTGTTAAAAAAAAAATAAAGGTCTTCCATGCCGTACTGATACTAGCTCCCACTCCTCTGCCCGTAGTCGACACTGTCTTTACTAACATTCATCATCTGTTGTCGATTTATTAGTGAGGAAAAACCACCTGACGAAGGTCTGTAGTCAACTGATGACCAGGTCTTTGGTATGGCCAATTATAGCGGGCCGCTGGCTCATCACTCCGCAATTATTTTCAAAGACAGGGGGGTTATTCTTCACAACGACCTGTTTTTCTTAACTCATTGTACTAATCACCTTTCACTGCAATACCACTGTTTTATATTGTATTAAATAATATATCACCCGCTGACCAGCAGTTAACAGCAAGGTCTACGAGGACAGGGCATTTAACTTTACAGGTATATCACTATTTACTCATTACAGTTACCACTTACCTGCCTGGAGTCTACCTGAAGGGAATTCCGGGGATCAACGCCCCCGCGGCCCGGTCCACGACCAGGCCTCCCGGTGGATTAGGGCCTGATCAACGAGGCTGTTACTGCTGGCCGCACGTAGTCCAACGTACGAACCACAGCCCGGCTGATCCGGCACCGACTTTAGGTATCTGTCCAGCTCCCTCTTGAAGACAACCAGGGATCTATTGGTAATGCCCCTTATGGTTGGTGGGAGGCTGTTGAACAGCCTTGGGCCCCGGACACTTATTGTGTTTTCTCTTAGTATACCAGTGGCGCCCCTACTTTTCACTGGGGGTAAGTTGCATCGCCTGCCAAGTCTTTTGCTTTCGTAGGGAGTGATTTCTGTGTGCAAGTTAGGAACTAGCCCCTCCAGAACCTTCCAAGTGTAGATTATGATATACATCTCTCGACTGCGTTCCAGTGAGTACAAGTCAAGTGCTTCCAGGCATTCCCAGTAGTTAAGGTGTTTGATGGAACTTACATGTGCAGTAAAGGGTCTCTGTACATTCTCTAGATCTGCAGTTTCACCTGCCTTGAATGGAGATGTTAATGTACAGCAGTATTCTAGCTTAGAGAGAACAAGTGATTTAAAAAAGATCATCATTGGCTTAGCATCTCTTGTCTTGAATGTTCTCATTATCCATCCTATCAGTTTCCTCGCAGATGTGATAGTGGCATTGTTGTGGTCTTTGAAGGTGAGATTTTCGGACATTACCACACCTAGGTCCTTCACATTACTCTTCCGCTCTATTGTGTGATTAGAGTTTGTAGTATATTCAGTCCTAGCTATTATTTCCTCCAGTTTTCCATAACGGAGTAGTGATCGTCTTGATCATCTTCCGCCTCGACATTGGTAAGGCCTCTTTTAGATTATGCTGCACTGGGAAGTACACAAAGAAGGATTCCATGTATGAGAAACCTTTCCTAGGAACATAGACTGATGGTGATATAATTAAAGTATACGAATGGAAAACAGGAATAAATAAAGAGGATATAAATAACATGCTAAAAATATTTAACCAAGACAGGGCTCTGCAATGGATTAAAATAGGACAAATTTTTATACAGACAGGATATAAGAAAGCACTGTTTTAGAAAGTGTTATTGCCGAGTGGAACAAACTCCCAGGTAGAGTCACTGAAGATAGAACTCTGGGTATCTTTAAAAATAAGTTAGACAGGTACATGAGTGGAAGTGAGAGTTCAACCTACCTAACATGGGCTAGTAAGCTTACTTCAGTACTCCTTTATTATATTTTGTTCTGTCGTTTCTGTTACAGAATTACTTCTCCATACAGATTGTTCATCTTTTCAAAATTACACTTTTTCCCTGTGTGAATGAAGTTAGAGGTGAAGTACCAGGGCTGGGTTAAGGAAAGGATGGTGGGGTTGGCTGGTATATGATGAAGGTTGGTGGTAGTGGTGCATGGCGGAAGAGATTAGAGGGAAATGGAGGAGGGGAAGGGAAATTGGAAAGGAAGCAGTTTGCAGGAAGGGCGTGAAAGGGAAGGGGAGGTACTGGGCTGGAATAGTGTTTTAATGGGGAGGAGAAGGATAAGCAGGGTTTCGGAGATGCGGCGAGGTTTACCTGAAGTGTACCTAGAGTCGCTTCCGGAAGTTACTTTTCCCTGTGGCCGCCTGGTTGATGGCCTGACTGATCAAGCTGTTAGTGCCCGCCGCCCGCAGTCCAACGTATGCACCACAACCCGGCTGATCAGGAACTGTTTTTGAGGAATCTGTTGCGTTCTCTCCTGAAGACAACTTGGGGTTTGTTGAGAATCTTCCTTATGCATGAAGGGTGTTAAAAAGAGTTTTGGTCCCTTAACACTTATCGAGGTCTCTTTGTGTACTCATCGCTCCCCTCTACTCACAAAGCGCATAAGATTCGAGCACATGACAAGCTAGTCCTAAAACTAGCAACCCAGTGCACTAAAAACTGTGCCATGCCAGTCTAGCAAGATTCATCCAACCAGGCACATTTCTATACACTATGAAGGTTAACATGGGCCCCACCACAAATGCAGTTTTTCACACTAATTTCACACCAACATGGTTGCTGCAAGCTTCAGCTCGAGCCTCTTCAGTCATTATTAACGACTTGCGAATCTTTAATGACACTATTGTGAATAACTCGGAATGGCTGGCCTGTTAGTTTCAGTACTGACTTACCATGAGTTCGGACCCCACCAGTTGTACGAGTTGTTTACAGCAGCGTTATTACGATTTCGCCAGTCAACCTTCACTATCGGTTCAAACATCTTAAATTATTGGGAATGCCTAAAACTTCGTTTAGCTCCACTAGAGGAAACAACATGCCTCCATCTTCAAAAAATGTGTTTCATCAACCAAAAGGCCTAGTCAGAGTTCAGACTGTAGAAGGGGGAGTGAGGGGAGGGGGGGAGTGGATGATAATCCCTGGAACCATAAACAGGTAAATAGGCAATGGTAGGGGAGCGGGTATAGGCTGGTCGATCGTGCAGGTGGGTGGGAAGGTTATTGTGCAGAAAGGGGATGGGGAAGGGAAGGTTTGGGAAAAGGGGATGGGAAAAGACTTGGGAAAGGGAATGAGTAAGGGAAGGTTTTGGAAAGGGAATGAGGAAGAGAAGGCTTGGCAAGGGGAATGAGGAAGGGAAGGCTTGGGCAAGGGAATGAGGAAAGGTTTGGGGAAGGGGATGAGGAAAGGAAGGTTTGGGAAAGGGAATGGAAGGTTTGGGGAAGGGAAGATTTGGGAAAGGGGGTGAGGAAAGGAAGGTTTCGGAAAGGTGATCAGGAAAAGGGGAGATTTGTAAATGAGGATGGGGAGAGGAAAGGAAGGTTCAAGAAAGGAAATGGAGAAAGGAAGGGAAGGTTCGAGAAAGGGGACGGGGAAGGGAAGGTTCGAGAAAGGGGAATGGGTAAAAGAAGAGAAGGTTCGAGAAAGGGGATGAGGAAAAGAAGGGAAGGCTCAAGAAAGGAGATGGGGAAAGGAAGTGGAAGTTCGCGACAGGGGATGGGTATAAGAAGAAAAGGTTTAAAAAAATGGGATGGGGAAAGGAATGGATGTCCGAGGCAGGTAGGTTTGGCTGTACTTGAGAGGAGAACAATGATGGGTTCTTCACAGGATACCGTCATGGGCACATAAAAGATATACCACGTAAATTGAACCTATGATAGTAGTCACACAATGTGACTTACTGGACAGTTGTTCTTAGGAACATGTACGACCTTTCAATGCATGGCACAGTTCAGACTACGGCTCGACACAAGTCTTTGGGAAAGGTTTGCCTAACGTGGTACATAACCTAATGTAGTTTTAGATGTCATGCTGGTTTGGATTTATTTGTAACGTAAATCTGGGGAATAAAGGAGCATTTATATAAACCAAAATCTTAAACAATAGATACTGAAAATAAGGTCACTAGCTTACGTCACAGATAAGATTGTTCTCTCATAATTTTACGTAGCTAACAGGTACAAATCAGTCCAATAATACTTTCATTTTTGGACGCAGAATCTATGGGTTTTCAGTACTTCTGGATATACTGTCAACTTGGTTATCATGTATAAATCTTAATATTTTTTATGCAATAAAAGGAACCTTTTCCTATATCATCCTTACATCAATTACATAAACTATAGAAGATGGAGGGAAATTGACACGAATGCATTTATTTAGGACACTTTTATTTAAGGTATCTCGGTTCTTGGATCTTGATCACTTAGTACAGAACTAGCCTAGGCCGGTAGACCTACTACAGTGTTCATTTATTTTTTACAATCTTGCTCACCATTGTAATTGTCGAAGGCTGTTGGGACGTATTCTGTGGGATATCCATTAGTGGTGTAGGAGACGACTAGTGAGGTCTTGCCGACGGAACCATCGCCCACCAAGACACACTTCAGCTTGGTCTTGACCTCGCCATCGGGAGACCCCATGAGGTAGGCCGCCGCTGTCGGGTCGTGAGGCCGCACCAGGGGAGGCATAGTCGCCCCCGAGCCGCGGTAAATCCAATCGTACGTGGCGCCCTGCCCCGAAGTCGTTCCCAAGGTGCTATATGGCGGTCGTTTGTACGACTCTGAACCTGAATGAAGTAACTCGCGAGTGTACCTGTCGATGGACCGTAGGTTCCTCAACATTTAGGCCAAAAGGCTCTGTGCCTGGCGTTACTGAACACAATTACACTATTAAATGCATCAGGTGAATAATTTCAAGGTGATACTCAGTCACTTCCAAAACAAAATCACTATAATATCAGGTGCCACATTGCAAGAACTTACACACACTAGCGCTAAAGATACCACCTACCCACCTCACAGTCCAACTCACACTGACTGTGTTTACGATTGATGAAACACCAGAGAGGAGCAACAGCTGATTCCGTGACGTCACATGAACCCTCCACAGGATTGGCTGAATATTTTTACCTTTTTCATGCTTTCCGGTAACCTATCAAGAAAGCAATTGAGTTTGTTTAATGTGAACTGCTTTATCAAAATGTTTTACACATAGTAAATGTATCCAAACTACATATAAAATGAAAGATCTTGAAATAATAGTTACGCTAACTTGTTTAAAATGCCTTGAAGTAAAAGGCTTAAAGGAAATAGCCAGGATGCATAACTAAGCAGTAATGTTTTTACATTTAATACTATTAAAACACCACAATTTATTTGCATTACTAGTTCCTTAGAGTTAGGTACACGCAATTAGATATTCAGATATTTAATGTTTACCTGCAACCTGAGTGCCAACCCTACAAACTAAACTGAATTGCAAACATTTTTCATGCTAAAGTAATCTTGCAGTATATATTATCAATTACATATTTAAATTAAAAACAATTAAACATGTAAGTTGAAATTTTAATACACATCTAAGCAGCTGTGTGTTTACTTGAAAGATAATAATTGGTAATGTTGGTAGAGTGGTGTTGCTGCAGGCCAGCAACAGCAACATCAGTATTCAAGGCTCAGCTGCTTCAGGATTAGCACGTATCTAGTAGAAGGCATAGTGTCAGGAGTTAGGCAAATACTGCTGTCTGGTACCTAATCAAGGTAGGTCACCTTTGTATATATATGCTTCAAAATTAACTTGGGTTTACTAGCATTTTAGATTTGATGTGAAATTATTATTTGAGAAGAAACTGTAGTTATTTCCTCATTTTTTTTGATATTGACAAAGTTGTGATTACATGTCTTCCCAAGGACATTAGGGCAGAGCAGTACGATGTAGCAGTAAAAGTTTCTTAGAGTAAAATATTTAGATTGAGTAGCAGCACAATATAGTGTATCTAATTTTATTAACATTAAGTTTGAGCTTTGTATTTTTTTTCTTTTGGCACTAAGTTTATTAATTAGAATTCATTTGATTTGATTTTATTTTCTAGAAAATAGCGGGTAGGTTTATTTTAATAGAACTTCTGAATCTGTCAAACCACCTAGGTTTTTGATGCACTGACAAAGGTGATATTGATTTTTTAAATGCTTGCTTTTTTGAGACCCCCATTGATTTTTTAAATGCTTGCTTTTTTGAGACCCCCTGCCAATGTTGGTATCCCCACCAGTGTATGTCTGCTTTTCCCAACAATCTGGATACCTTACACAAGTGGGTATTTTGAAGATTTTCTTCTGTTTATTAACTTGCAAGATTAATGACCTACAATAACCCCAAAAAAAAGTCAGTTTGGCTTATTTCCGTTGTGGTCCTTAGGTTCTCTTCCCCAGGATGCAATGCACAGCAGTCGGGTAACACCCAGGTACATAACAATACTACTAGGTGAACAGGGGCAACAGTTGTAAGGAATCATGCCCAATATGTTCATTCATCCTGGGAACAAACCTAGGTCCTTGGCCTGTGAGCAGAAGGCTCAAACACTTGAGCCACAAGGCAGACCACTTGAGCAGTGAACTACAATAGAAGGGATACCTTCCATCCCTCCCCCACAAGAGCTGTATAATCCCTACAGGTTTAGTGCTCTCCCATGATTATAGTAATAATGATACTTGAATACCATAACAATTTAATTAACCAAACCTAACCTGCTCATTTTACTTCCCTATTGAGGAAGAGGATATGTAGGATTGTCTTTGAGTGGGCTTACAGATAAATGGATGAAATATTAAGCCTTCATGATCATTAGACATGATAAAATTTGCTCGAATTTTTAACCCAGAAGGTTAGCCACCCAGGATAACGCAAGAAAGTCAGTGTGTCATTGAGGACAGTCTCTTATTTCTGTTGGGGTCCTTCAATCTTTCCTCCCTGGATGTGACCCACACCAGTTGACTAACATTCAGGTACGTACTTACTGCTAGATAAGATAAGTTCCCACCCTCGCCGAGGATCAAACCACAGGTGAATAGGTAAATGGGAACAGCAGGTGTAAGGACACAGTGGTTTCTTCTGGCCGGGGATTGAACTACGGATGAGCTTTACATACATTTAAGACTGATTAATAAAACAAGTAAGATAATTATTTACCCAATTTTTGGTGAATCAGTGAGTGATGGTGGTCGTAGTGGTGGTGGGTGGTATGTGGAGGGAGGCTTAATCCTCATCACTGGTGATGGGTAAAGGTGAGTCTAGATCCTGATCATGATTGCTGAAGGGCAGAGAAGCAGCTGGTACTGCAACTGCTTCAACTTCTTGATTAGTTGGGGCCTTAAAAAGCATATCCAAGGTTTGCTGTCTTGCATGTCTTTTCTTCTCTTTGTATAATTCCCTGTAACAGTTGTAGCCACTCATTATTATCCTGTTTGCTTCTGAATTTCTCTTTGTGGATATTTTTCTGTGAAAATGGCCATAGCTGTATCTAACAACTAGAAATCCTCGGATAAATCTTTAGTTTTAAGATTCATGGTGGCTGTGCATCCTCAGTTTCATCATCTCCCTCCTCTTCAGCATGATGTTATTCCATCCCCATTAGGTCCTCATTAGATAATTCTTCATGTGATTCAAGTAACTCTACTACATCTTTATTTATTATATTAAATCCAGCCTGGTGTACCAGTCCAAGAATCTCCTGATGAATGTTCTGTAATGGCTGTTCAAACCCCGGGAAGTTAGCAAAGCATTCTGGATATATTTTGTGCTAGACATAATTCATTGTCAATAGCATTCATGATATGGTAACCAGGATAAAATTCCTTCACAGTGGGTTTAGCTTCACCACCTAAGAACTTAATCGTTTGCTTAAAGGTGTGCCATAAATAGTGGGCTTTGAATGTTGCTATAACACCCTGATCTATAGGTTGAATCAAACTGGTTGTGTTTGGAGGCAGAAAAGTTACTTGAATTATCTGAGGTCATCTAGGTTAGGTGGGTGACCTGGAGCATTGTCCAGAAGAAGTAAAGCTTTATTTTTAAGGTTCTTAGTTCGACAATATTCTTTGACAGTTGGGGAGAAATACAAAGTAAACTATTTTTGGAACACTGTTTTGGTGATCCCCCCCTCCTTTTATTTGACCACCAAATGACAGGAAGATGAGGTTTAGAGTAGCCTTTCACAGTTCTTGCAAAGTGGAAATTGTAAGGAGCACCTCCTTCCACCACACTTCACTTTCCAACCCACTTATTCCAGTTCGGGGTTGCCAGTGGCTAGAACCTATCCCTGCAGCTCAAGGCACAAGGTGGGAACCAGCCCTGAACAGGATGCCATTCCATTGTAGGGTGCACTCACACAGACCCACACTCACTCATACTGGGACAATTTGGACTGGCCATTTAACCTAACATGTACATCTTTAGGATGTGGGATTAAACTGGAGTTCCCAGAGAAAACCAACGTGAACATGGGGAGGACATGCGAACTGCACACGGACAGTGGCCCTGGCTGGAAATCGATTTTTTTCTCATCGTTATAACGAAAGGATGTTGAACGAAACGACATTATTTGAGGACCTGTTGTATAGGCAAAACATCATTATTAGGATGTGTTTTTTTAAGACACCTGTTCCTGTTCACCTATCAGTAAAATAGGTACCTGGGTGTTAGTCGATTAGTATGGGTTGCATCCTAGAAACAATATTGACCTGATTTGCCCGAAATGCTCTGCATAACAAGGGGCTTTCTCTATAGTAGTATGTCATTGATGTCAGCTAGGCCTGTATACGTTATACATGTACTCATAGAAATGAAGATTATTATTATTATTATTAAAATGATTTGTTTTTCTTGAAGGGTTATTCTAACATTACCATCTTGTTGGGTGGCAGTTTTTGTAATTTGTTTATAGTAATGTTACTTTCAGGCATCACTAACTTTGCTCAAAGTTGTAAGACAGTTTCATTACCTGTAATTATTTATTTAATGTAGTGTATTAACTTACTGCAAGATGTTTTTAGGGTTATTGTGTTATACCCTGTTAAACATATCATAGTAAGAGTCATTTGACTAGCACAGCTTTTTATTTCTCCTATATTTGTCCTCATAATTCTTGTTTTTCACATTAGCTAATGGGCTTATTATGGCTTTGCCGCCGGCTGGTCCGGATAACTGTAGACATTGCTGTGATTCTGCTGATCATTGTCCTTCTTCCTGGCATTCCTCCTGATGCATCTTTCACATCAACTGAGTAAGTTACTTTCTATTACTTCCTTAAAATTGGTAATGTTAACTGTGAATAATTTTTTATTCTGATGATATGTACAGTAATTATATTTTACTGTATATGTATACTGTAGTGTAATAATAATGTTAACCACAAATATTTATTATTCTGATTATATGTGTGGTAATAATATTTTACTATATATACTGTAGTGTATAGTGCTATTCATTAATTATCTTTTATTATAACTGTGCCTGTTATTCTTAGACATGATGAATGTTTACCATTGGAAGGGCCATTAGCCAAGAACAATAAGTTGGATGCGGCAGATAGGATTATGGACGGAAAAATTGTTGGCCCAGAATCTATTGCCTCTCGTGATCCAGAAGAGATCTTTGTGAGCTTACATGGTGGCAAAATTCTTCGTATCTGGGGTCCTAAGTTTGACCATTTCAAGATAGTTGCTTCGATTGGGCCCGGTTGTGGTAAGAATCTACTTTTTATAGTCTGCATTTTGCCTTCTCATCCATCATCATCTAGGGATGCATTATAGGCTGAGTCTTATTCATTAATTAATGAAGCTGTAGGATTCTAATCATAAATGGCTACATCTTGAATAATATAACCATTACTGGCATACAAAATAACAAACTAATTTTTTCTTATGTATGGAGATACGTCCAGCCATATCCCACCCTACGCCATTAATTGGTTCCAAGAGCCATGATGTAACCCGGTTTTTTACATAAACTGGACATAATGCCTTAAAAATGCCTTAAAATGATGAAGCACACCATAAAACTTATGTACACAACTCACAAAAGAATATAAATACATATTGCTCAACCTTAAAGAACACTAAAAAACACATTTTGGTCATATTTTTTAAAGATTAATGAACACAATTAAAAAAATCCAGACGTAGGTGACACTGCTGAGTGATGTATAGTCAGATGTAATTAGGTTCAGTGAACTGAAATTTAACCTAGATAAATGGCATGAAGGTGAATTTAACATAGGCTGAAATGATGTAAAATGGGGTATGACTGTATACTAATTATTTCTAGAAAACAGTTGCCTTCTATTTTATTTACAGCACCTGTATTTAATATGTGATGAAAATAGCTGTTGAAGACCGTACACCACGAGCATAACTCTGCTTTTGTTGCTACAGATAGTTAATTGAAGTACAGTGGAACCTCAGTTTTTGTATGCCCTGGTTTTCGTAGGATTCGGTTTTCAGCGACTTTTTTCATCAAAATTTCGTCCTAGTTTTCATACATCCATTTGGTTTTCGTAGAGTTGACAATGGTCCACTGTACCAAACGCGTCTGCTTGCCCTTGCCCACACAAAGCATTACCCCACACGTTCATCCAAAACATTTCGTAATAATCCATTGTTTTTTTTGTACTTGTTTATTGAATGTGACTGCTAAATTAGCCACCATGGGGCCAAAGAAAGTTCCAAATGTGCCTTCTTCAGTGATGAAGGACGTGTGCAAAGTGGAGTGAGTTGCAAAGTTTTGTGGAGAAATATCACCCTAACAAACCTGTTGCAAGCTGTGTCTCCAACACATTCAATGACAGTGCCTTGTCCCATTTTAGGCAAATCTTAGAGACGCCAGAAACAGACCTCTCTGGACAGATTATATGTGCGACAGGGGTACAGTGCCAGTAAAAGACAAAGAAGGGAAGTAACCCCAGATAAGGCCTTGATACCTGAAGTCCTTATGGACGGAGATTCCCCTTCCAAACAATAACCTCTCCTCCTCCCTCTCCCCTCCCTGCCCTCTTCCATATGCCAACAACAGTCTTCATTAAAGGTAAGAGTGATGTTAATTGTTTGTTTATCCATTTCATTAATCATTTATATTTATTTCTCATTGTTTTCTGTATGTAAAACTATAGTTATTCTCTATAAAATGTATTTTTTGTTAATATTTTTGGGTGTTTGGAACGGATTATTTGGATTTACATTATTTCTTTTGGGAAATATTGCTTCAGTTTTTGTACAGTTTGCATTTTCATCAGACTTTCTGGAACGAATTAATCACGAAAACCAAGGTTCCACTGTATAATTGTTGTATACCAAACTTAAATCTCTTACTCATACCTATTACCCGTTTCACATTTTTGTATTAAATGGGCTTTATTGATGACTGAATTAGATTAACCTTCTCCTATGTTGCACCTACCGAACCCACTGAAGTCACCACAATTATCAAGTCGCTTAAAAATAAATCAAAGAATCTGTCTCAAGTCCCACCATTATTGCACAAGCGAGTGGCTCATAACCTTTCGCCTGCCATTTCACTCCTTTTTAACAAGTCACTAGAAACTAGCACTTTCCCTGCACCACTCAAGACAGCAAGGGTTACACCAATACTCAAAGGTGGTGACCCCACAGATGTAAATATCTGCAGGCCAATCTCAAACTTACCATTGCTACCCAGAATCTTTGAGAAACTTGTGCACAAGTGAATGTATTCATTTATTACAGCACAAAGCATACTCAACCCCTGCCAATTTGGCTTTAGAAAAAACAAAAGCACAAACTATGCAGTTGTAAAAATGCTGGACCTGCTTTACACAGCACTGGAAAATAAGGAATATCCATTAGGACTCTTTATTGACCTAAAGAAAGCTTGTGATACAGTAGACCACGGCATCCTACTCCAAAAACTTGACCATTATGGTATAAAAGGCCACACACTTATATATTTCAAATCCTACCTTACTAACAGGTATCAGTGTGTCACCATTAAGGACACAGCCTCATCTACAGGACCACTTGATGCTGGAGTGCCACAGGGAAGTGTCCTTGGTCCCCTGCTCTTCCTCTTGTATATCAGTGATCTTCCCAACATATCACAACACCTGAAACCAGTTCTCTTTGCTGACGGCACAACTTATGTCATCTCCCACCCAAATCTTCCCTCACTCAACACCATTGTTAATAAAGAGCTACAAAAAATATCAACCTGGATGACTGCCAATAAACTTACACTTAATACTGACAAAACCTTCTATATTATGTTTGGTAACAGAACAATTGCACAACTGGCAAATTCCTGGGCCTACACCATGACAGCAACCTGAATTTCAGCACCCATATCCAACACATAGCAAAAAAAGTACCAAAACAGTTGGAATCCTCTCTAAGATACGTTACTATGTACCACAATCAGCTCTACTCACACTATACTATTCACTTGTCTATCACTACCTCGCCTATGCCATTTGTGCTTGGGGATCATCAGCAGCAACCCACCTAAAACCAATAATAACCCAGCAAAAAGCCACAGTAAGAATTATCATGCAATCCAATCCCAGGCACCCCCCCCCCACTCCTCAAAGATCTAAACTTACTGTTCAGAGCATCCACACTACTTTTCGCCTACATTTACGAACCAAAAATTTTCCAACATTAACCCGAACAAAAATGTTTTTTCTTCATAGTTGTGGCGGGGACCAGGGGCAAAATACAAGACGCAAAAATCTATATGATTTTCCCTGGCCCGGCAAATCTATACAAACTTTTATTGACATTAAAGGCCTAAAATCTGGAACTCCCACATGTAAACAAACTGCAGATCAGCCACCATTTTCAAAACTCCCATCAAAAAAACATCTTATCTCCCTAACCCCCCCCCACAACTAACTACATGAAAACCCTCATTCATGCACCGTGCGGCGCACGCACACGCACACCACATGGCCACACACACACACACACCACACACAACCCCACACACAACACACAACACAACACACACCCCAAACACACACAACACAACAACACACACAACCCCACACACACCACACAACACCGCCCAATGTACTTTTTGATCCCCAGTAAAGAGAATTGTTCACTTCCTTTTTTTTGGAGAATAGGTACCTTTTATGGATTATCATGGTCACTTATCTTAATTTATAATTTATTAGTTTTAAAACCCCAGTTTCCCAAATGGCCTGTTATCCCGGGTGAAAAAGGGGCAAAATAAACACAGCGAAAAAGTTTAGACTTATATTACCCTCACCATTTGAACAGCAATATGTACACTATGTACAGTGTAATATAGTGCACTCCACAGAAAGCAAGGCGAAATAAACCCACAAATAGCAGATCGTGCTTCAACCCCTCTAAATGGAATGACAAGGCAGACGGGAGATGGTACCCACAAAACCTCTGCGTTTCCCAAAAACCCATTTTCTTTTTGGCTAGAACCGGGTCACTTTGAATGGGGGGCCCCCCATCAGCTCTTACAACCTGGTTCGTTTGGGGAGATCCCTGAAATGAGGGTGTGTACATGCCCGAAAAAAGGGTTACGTACTTTTGCATCCCAACCCCCACCCCGAGAAGGTCGGGTTTTAGGCTCCCACCTCCCGGGGAACCTTTTCCCCCATGGTACAAAAAAATGGGACCCCCTTTCCTCTCCCCCATCCAACCTTAGATAGAGCTCAGTTTTTCTCGGCCCAAAACCCAAAACCCCTAAATTTGAGTAGACAGCACGTCGGGCTAGCATAGGTCCAAGATACAGGGGGACGGTAGCCCCATCCCCTCTAAAAAAAAAAAAACCCACACTAGGGGATTAAAAAAAAAAAGAGTTTAAAAGGGGGTTCCCAAAAGAAACCCTAACACCTAACCTAAGTAAAAAAAAAAAAATTTAAACCAATAAAGATCCCCAACACTTTTTCTTTCCCGGGCAATATACGTCAGGGGGCCCCCCCGCTTAACGATCACCCCCCAAATGCGCCCAAATTTTAATGTATTTATGTAAGGGGTTTGTACATGTATTTTGGGGGTCTAAAAATGGACTAATCTACTTCCAAAATATTCCTTTATGGGAAAAAATTCGGTCAGAAATGGACTAAAACTATTCGGGAATGAAAAAATATCTTTAAAACCGGGGGGCCCACTGTATTTTAATTCGAGTGAGTTGGTTGCAGTCTTAGGCCCACGCAGAGCCTTGTTTGTGGTTTTCTTCAGGGTTTGGAGATATACTAAGGATTGTGATCACTGTAAACTGTGCCCACCTGCGATGTCGGGCCCCACATAAACACAAAAATGCTCCAAAGCCAGTACCAGCACGAGGGCTTTTTTTTTCAAGGGTGAGTAACCCCTCTGATGGGGGAATGGGCTGAAAAGTAAACAGGCTGCAACCCTCATTTCGTTTTGTAATAGTATGCCCCCCCCCCAGCTCACAAGCATCAACCTGTAATGAAAAAGGTTTGGAAAGTCTGGAACAAAGAATGGGTGCATACAAAATTTTCTTTTGCTTTGTCAAAAGAATTTGCAATTGGGGCCAATTAAAGGGAACTTTGTACTGGTAAGGGGGCTACAATATCGAAAAATTTCCCTTACAGAACCTTTCTGTAAAACCCATCATGCCTAGGAAAGTAAAGAGATTTCCTATCATGGGAACTGGATAATCTTTAATAGCAAAAACTTTAGCAATTTTAAGCAACTTTACCACACCTACTT